CCATTGATTCACGTCGAAAAACACATGACTAAAATTGAGAGCTTGGTTGAGAAATTTGCAACGACCATGACATAGAGCCACCTTCGTTCGCCGTAGCAGGAGCCGGAGTCAGAAGTCTTCGTGCACGAAGCTGTTGGAGAGAGAGTTGCTGGGGTGACCGGAAGTTATTGGGGAGGGGGGAGGGGTGTTTTTTCCATATTTGTAATTTTTTTTTCTTATTTATTAAAAATATATAAACATGACTATCTTGGTAATTTTTACATGGAAACCAGCATTTTTTTTTTTACAAACATGTAAATTATATAGATTTATGTCATTTGTGTAATTAAATTCTTTAAAAAGGCTATACTTGAATTTTTTTTTCCTTTGAAACAACTTTATATGTACTTATCCCTTTAACTTTCAAATTTTTTTCTTATTATTGGATTAGGTTTGAACCAAATAAAATAGGGAAATTTAAGTAAATGGCTAAATTTGGCCCCCCACTTAAGAAAATGTCCCTTGGTTTATAATTTTGTAAAAATGGCTAAAGGATAGATTACGAATTTTAAATTTTTAAGTGTTTTCCTCATAATGTCCTTCCTACGTTTTAAACGTATTTAACAATCCAACAAACTTGCTATTCAATTCAAAACTTGTTTCCTACCGTCAAGGGATTTTATCTTCATTATTTTAATTCTTTTATTAGTAATTTCACTTAATTTAAACGTATTACAATGTTCCACGGTCTTCATCTCATCCTTCAATTTTATATGGTGGTACGTGGAATGGAAAAAATGGATACAACAATTTCTTTAACATGGGATTCTTTACCTTTTTATGTTCTACCTTTCTTCTTAAATTTGTAGCCTTCTTTGGACGCGCATAAGTTATTTACCTTATCTTCATCAGTAGATTCATTATTCACCCTTTCATTTTCTTCATCAGTTTTTGTATCATCTTTATATTAGAAAAATTATCAAAATTATAAGATCAGTAAATGTATATACCAATTAATGATAAACCAATATTAGAATACAATACATGTACGTTACGTACATATCGCAACTCAATCATCAAAATTAAAACGTCCATATATGTATGTACTAATAATTCAACAATTAACAAATCATGAAAGTTGATAGATTTATATATCAATTCAAGAAACAACCAAGTACGTAAGTGTATACATCTATTTACTGTTGTACAACTAAAGTATCATAAATAAATAAACTAGTAAATGCATATCCCAATAAATTAAAACATCTATATATGTATGTACTAATAATTCAACAATTAGCAAAATATGAATGTAAATAGATGTATATATCAATTCATAAACCAAATTAAAACATCAATATATCTATTGACTTCTGTACAGCTATAGTAAGTACATGTATATCCCAATAACTACCTTATTACCAACATGCTCTTCTTCAACTATCTTGATATCTTTTCCTTTTCCCTTAAACATAAAATTAGAATTAACTTAGTGAATCTAATTTTAAAATATTACTATTCAACAACAACATCTCTTCAGTTCTTACCCAAGTTTCCTCCACCTCTCTTTTTGCTGGTCTCATTCAATTTCTTACCTTTCTTTCCCTTGTTTATTGGAGTCTCTACTTTAAGTCCTTGATGATTCATATATATATAAAGATAAAGACATCTATGAAAGGATTTTTAAAAAAACAAATAACTCATATATAAACTGTTGTATCTATACCTCTTCTTCACTGTCTAAGGTGATTGTGCAGGTTTTTCTTCGACGCCCTGCTATTCCACCAACCTTTAATCGTTCACTCGATCGTCGAGTTATTCCACCT